CGCATGTGCCCAAAGTTGATGTTCCTCACTTCAGTCAGCATCCGGTAGATGTGGAGCTGCTCCACGAACATCCATGCAAAGGTGCTCATGTAGAAATAATGCAGGAGGATGGCAATCACGGTACACACAAACTGCAGAAGGGAAAGGGCAGGGAAATTACAGTTGTTCTCCTGAATCACAACCTGGTGAGTCACCAGCTCCTCTGTGCAGCTAAAGGCAAGTGTAATAAAAAGGTTTTGGCAGAACAAATACACTTCCATTAATTAAGTTTTTCAGAGTTTCAGAAAAGCTGTTCATATTGTGAAAACTATTTTTTTTTTTTTTAATTATGTGGTCTGTTCTGAGTCTGGTTCAACTTTACCCTATCAACCCAACATGCTTTGGTCACTGCCTGTGCTGTCCACATTCTGTGGCTAATTTCTCTGTGCACATTTGCTGCACAGGTGAGTCTTCTGGCTATTCTGACCAAATTCCTTCTGCTCGCAGGAGGAGCAGGGCTGGCAGAGCTCCTGGCTCTTTCTTGTGGTGCAGAGCAGGAGGTGGGGATGCCCTTAGGGAGGCTGCAGACCCTCTGCCCTGCCTCATGTATGAGTCTCACCTGCACAATGCCACTACAGTCAATTCAGCCACAGTGTGTTTAACCGCATCAGCTAAACTGGTCTCACTGCAAAGCCAACAAATTGCTCCTGAGAACGGCCACCCTCATCCTTGGACTGACTCGGTGTCTCCAATTTCCACATCAAGAGCCATCCTATAGGGTTTTTCTGCTACTTCACTCCTTCCAGGGAGAGAGAGATCTCTCTCTTCAAGTGTGCTATTCTGGTAGTCTTGTTTTGTCTTAAAGTAGACACTGGTTTGTGCCTGAAGCTAGTAGATAAAGAAGTACAAAGAAATTGTCCCTGAGTTAGGCAGAGGTGTAGGAGAGGTGTGAGGTATTCAGTTTAGGACCAGTCCCTGAGGAAGTCCTTCTTGCTCTGAAAACCTTCACTTCTGGGGACAGAAATCCATGAAGCTTCAGCCCAGGAAAAATGAACATGCTGAATGTGAGCAATAGATGATCTATAGATCTTAATGAAAGAAATCCAGCATTCCTTTGAGGAATTTTCTTATCAGTTAAATGTAATGTCTGTCTCACAAACAGGCAAAATTTGATGTGATCCTATGATCTAGCATAAGATCAGCAGACCATTTTTCTCCTATGTGACTGTGTCTTAGATCTGAAAAGATCTGTTCCATATACAGCTCCTTTTCTGGGACTCTTTAAAAAAGAAGAAATTGAGAAGTAAAAGCATGGGATAAGGCAGTGGCTGTCTCTTTTGTCCTTGCAGCTCTGCCCTTCACTGATGATGCAGACCTTGCACATCTATACTTCAACAAGTCATAGAGGATGCCTGGCCGTTATCACTGAACTAAAATGATGCAACCAGAGTAGATCACCACCTACTCCACAGATCAACCTTTTACCTAATGTCAAAATCAGAGTATTTGACTACAAAGTGGGAGAGTGGCTTCTAGGCTCTACCTGGCTTGAGCCAGGGGGGGTTAACCCCCTTCTTATCCACTGCAGAAAACTGTCCTAACCGCCAGGCACTAGGATATCCTGGGTGCAGAAATGCTCAGCTCTATCCATCTCTTGCAGCTGTGCTGCTTGCAGTCAGGCACAGAAGTCATGAGGACAAGCAGAAAGGAGGCTCGTGCTGGCTGGGTAGTCAACATCTTCAGCTAGGAACACGGGGATGGATCTGGAGCTTCCAGTCCCAGGTCTGAATTTGGTTTTAATCCTATTTCAGCAGTACAAGGTGGACCACTCAGCTCTGCCAGGCTGACAGCAGCAAAAATGAAGGACCTGATGAAACCAAAGAGCCTGAGTCCTTCCTGTGACTAAGAGAAACAGCTACACTGGGCAAACTAGTAGCTGAAGTCATCTTTGTGACTAAATGGCCACCTTGAAATCTCTGACCTTCATAGACTTGCATTTCTGTAATAGCTGCTAACCAGCTTTCCCTCCCCAACTTAATGGTTTGATGGGAATGACCACAAGCATCCAACACCTGAACTGAAATTTTGCAATTAACCTTTTCCTTTTAAAAGCAAAGCAAAGGATTTTGGTAAGGATCTGTAGAAAAGCTTGAATTAAGCACCCTTTGTGTAACCATTTGATTTTTGTTTCAAAATGTTTTACATTGTGTTTTGGATCCTTTTGTTCCTGTGCAGCACTGACTCCGCTTTCAGATTTTGGCATGACTTTTTAGTGTTTTTTCAAGGTACAGTGCTCCGAAATGTAAGTTTCCTTGTTTAGCTTTGCCAAGCAAAGGAATCGTACAAAGACCGCCAACTTTCTGGATTCACTTACTACATCAGCTTTATTATAACACCAAGTGTTATTGAAAATGTAGCTCACCAAATAAAAGACTTTTTTTCCTTCTAAGTAAGCAGGGCTTTTTTTGTTCCTACTGGCACATGCATATGAGTAGACTGCTACCCTGAACATTACCTTTTTCAGGTAAGAAAAAAAGAAAGAAAATAAATCACTTTCTATCAATAGTCCAGGGAAAGATTAAAACCTCACCCAGAAATGTGACTGTTAATTTACAGAAACCCATAAAAGCCAGGCTGGGTGCCAAGCAGCGTAGCATTATTTGTGCTCCAGCATTCTTTCCCTCTTTATGTTCATCAGTGCATGACTCGTTAGACAACTCTCATTCCATACAGACAGATGAATAATTGTCTCAAGCAGACATGGCTTACAGCCCTCCTAACTTCTCAAATTGACTAGGTAGGCTGTAAGGAGCGGCTTTCTGATGTATGAAATACATTCTGTAAATTAAAGCTCTTTGTAAGTGGGTTAAAGGTTTGGGGTGTTTCATTGAGTCCTGGTAACAGTACAGGACTTGATCACACCATGAGACCCAAAGCATGAAAATGGGAAAGAGCAAAAGGGAACAATCTCACCAAGTACGACCATTAGTATTGATGTAATGAACTGTTTTACTACTCTTATAAACCTTTGCTCGGTGCTTCATGATACTATGAAAGGAACCTGGAAATGAGGAGCCATCATTTACAGCATAATTTTTGGTAAGATCCTGCAGGGATGTGTGCTTGGCGCCCTGCTCCTCAGTATTCATGTCAGAGAGCTGAAAGAGTATAAACTCCCTGCTAGTGAAATGCAGTGAAAAACGAGTGGTGTGCTCAAGAAGGCATGGGAAAGGTCAAGTTACATGGAGTGCTGTGGATCAATTGGCAAGGTGAGTTCATTTGGGCAAAGTTATTTTAATACGCAAACTCCTATATTATGAAACAAAGACAACATGGGTCACACATAATGTGAAACCATATCCCAGGGGGCAGGTCACTGCAGAAGACTTCACTGTAGCAGCAGATAACTGGAGTTCCTGGTGCAAGGGAATACTGGAATATGGGGCTGGAAATGACACTACCAGTTGGAAACCTTTGTCCAGTCTAGCATTCACGATTTTACAAATGGTAAAGTAGGGGAAGAAAGCCCAGAAAAAAGGCAACACAATAACCTGAATCTTAAAAATTGAAGAATTAAAGCAGCTTAATTTTATTTAATTTTCCAAAAGAAATACTATTGAACAGAAGCTTCCTAAGAAAACAATTTTTATAAGAGAGGTCTCCCAAATTTACTCGGAAAAGGTCTTGACAGCACTCAGTTACTGGAAGTTGAAATTAGACAAAATCTAACAGCATGTTTAACTGGGATGAGACACCACAAGACCTCACACTCACAGAGGTAAGGGACTCTGCCACCACACCAAATCTCTAAGTCAAGGTCAAATACTTTCTAAAATGCATGTTATAGCTCAAATGGATATCAGAATCCAGGGTGACACTTTAGGCTTAAGTTATATAGTAAGTGAGGCTACATGTCAGGCACAACGGTGTCATTACCATAACAGCGATGATACCCATTGAATGTAGGCATTTTCTCCAGTACCTAAAGGGGGCCTACAGGAGAGCTGGGGAAGGACTTTTTACTAGGGCATGTAGTGATAGGATGAGGGGGAATGGCTTTAAACTGGAAGAGGGCAGGTTTAGATTAAACATTAGGAAGAAGTTTTTCACTTTGAGGGTGGTGAGGCACTGGAACAGGTTGCCCAGAGAGGTTGTTGAAGCTCCATCCCTGGAGGTGTTCAAGGCCAGGCTGGATGTGGCCTTGGGCAACCTGGTCTAGTGGGAGGTGTCCCTGCCCATAGCAGCAGGGTTGAAACTCAATGATCTTCAAGGTTCCTTCCCACCTAAACCATTCTATGATTATATTTCTGCTGCTTAGACAATGTGGTTAATTTTTTGTGTGTGTTGTGTTTTCATCTCAAGATTGTACTTCCCTTTCAAAATTTAGATTGAAACATGTACAGTAAAAGATTTCTAGAATATAAATTTCCTTCAGAGTGTTCACATAATCCCTACACTAACATTTTGAATATTCTTCGTATCTGTTAAGGACATACTTTTTATTGCACGTCATCCCCCATCTGCCTACTGACTGGTAAAGGTGACTGAAGCTTGGCAGTGCTGGAACCCTTGCCTGCTTGTCTCCTACCTGACTGCATGGTAACCATGACTTTTGAGATGGGTGTTACTAAGAATTAGCAGCAATACTACAGATAATGCTACGCAGTTAAGATAGCAATGAGGTCCTAGGTACAGAACATACACACTTTATGTGTGGTGTATATCCCGTATTCAGTCTATTCATAGCATGCGTTTCTTGACAAGCGCAATGCTGGAGGTGCCTGCACTAAGCTTTGGCAACAGATATGATGTGCTGAAGCCAACAGTCACTGTGGCTGGAGGGTACAAAGCAAAGTGACAGGTTTCCTACTGATTCTTGGATGTAGCAAGCTGTCCCAAGCCTGGCAAGTGGCTTCTCAAGAATGGCCATGGTGGGTTTGCAACATGCGTATTAGCACCTGCACAGCAACACATAGTTGACAACCTACCGGTCAACACCAGGAGCCATTTGGGCTTGTGAGGTACCTGCGGCAGGAGAAACTGGAGAGTATCCTACTGAACAGACAAAGCAAGACAGAAAACACACCAATGGAAAGGAAGGATGAAATCAGTATTCAGGGTTTAGTTCCTGGGATAAGCCTTCAACAGGGCTGCTGTCATTTATTCTCTGAAATTAAGATATAGTCCTATCTCCTGGCATTGCTATTAATCATGTAAAACAAGAATATATTAAAAGTCTGATGTTTTCCAAATTATTGTTGAGGCCAAGCAGAAATAAAAAAGAAGAGAAAGTGAAACAGATCGAAGCAGGGAAAAGTCACAGTATGAACCCCCTGATTTAAAGCTTGACAACAAATCTAGCAATAAGCACAGAGAAACTCTTACCGGGTTTTCAGTCTGGTTGATTCCAATAAGAAAGACGAGCTCAGAGAAGAAAAGGGCGGCCACCAGGTTTTTGTGGATACTATGCAAGTTGGATCGTAGCGTGCGGATCAGGACCAGCAGTATGAAGGTGATCAGCAAAGCCACCAGCGAGATGGATACGGTTGTGTAAGTGACAATCTTCAGAGGAAGCACCTCCCCGTTCTGTAGAAAGACAGACTGACAGGACCTCTGGGAGTTTTCCCTTCCTTCTCCTCCAATCAAATCTACTACTTGGAATGTCGATGTTTTCATTACTACAACATACAGAGTTGCTTTAGGACTACCAGGTGTGGACGATGCCACCTCTTAAGTCACTCAACATGTTGAGTGTGTACGGGCAGCACCCAGAGGGTGCACCAACCAGGTAAGAAGCTTCTTTCAGCAGATGCAATAGTGGGTGCTGTCAGGCACGGGGCAATGCACTCCTGACACACTGCAACATGGGAACAATCCGCTTATGATACTCTTGAGTCATGCTCAAAGCTCAAGCTCAAGCTCTGAATCAAAGCCCTTGAAAACCAAAGCCCTTGAAAATCATTAGCCTGTCATCACCCACCTCTCGTTTTGAAATGTCCATCAGGACGGCAAAGCTGGTTATATGGTTGCACTGGCAAGCGATATGGCTCTGGTTTCTGGAAAACAGCTCACATCATCTGGAGGACCAGGCAACTGTCCCGCCAATCATGCAGGGAGGGAAAAAAGGCATAAAAAAGGCATTTCTGAGAGCCGTCCTCTGATCTCCCCTCACCTCCCACTGCTATTGCTCTCTGGGGCAGCTCTTGCTCTGCAATCAGAGAAGACTGTAAGTACCAAGACAGAAATATTTATAGGTGTCACCTGCCTGAAAGAATATCATCAACTTAAAAAGCCTTCAGTTTCTGATATGACAGCTGGCTTTGTTGGCCAACTTTTGTGAGTTTATAACAATCTGTTTTGAGTTTTAAAAAAAAAATTTAGAAAATTTGCTTTTGGGCCAGTGACCACACAAACATTATGGTGAAGCGATTGCACAGAGCAAACTGGGCATAACAAAGGTAAAAAATACCAAAACCACAGGCACACATGTGTTTTTGAGTCATCCTCATTTTCCTAGATCTAGACTCTGCTTGTGAAGCTCTCATGTGAAATATTTTTCAGCAGTAATATGATTTTGCTGTAGCATTCCTCTGAAAAGTACACAAGAAAAGGTTAAAACCAGTAAATAATATTTCATATTGGGAGATCTCTTGTACTAACATTGGGGAGGAACTGCTCCCTTAAAAATTCTTCCCTGTGCAGCCTTGGTTAACTCCAATGACTTCAGAAATGATTTTGTATCACTATTAATTATACTATTCTGAAGTCAATGAGGAATAAAAATACTCTTGTAGCTACTGAAGGAGTTTTTAATTAGATATTACAGGAGATCTTTTTCATTCAGCAATAAAATACTTGTAAAACAGCTTTAATATCACTTTCCCTTGAAAAGTACTAACTTTTTAAAAACTCTTCCACTACATGCAGTTTAAAAGCTGCTTTTTAACTGTGGCTGTAGGAAGACGTAACACAGACAACAATACCATTGAAGTTGCCAGCAAATAGCTGATAGATGAATCACTTCAGAGATAATGAGTTATTCAAGCCCATACGATGTTTAAAAATTTATGAAAAAGAACTTGCCATTCCCTCATAAATTGGCAGAATTATCTGTGCATAGCAGTAATTACACTACTTTACATGCAGGCAAATGGAGTAGTTTATTATTGCCAATGTAACAGATTTCTGTTGCCTCTTTGATCCTTTCAACAATATAATCTCCTGAAGCTTTTGACTAGGAGGCAAACATTTCCTAGGTTAGTTTGCTCTTTTATTTCCAGCACAGGATATTACCTTTTAATGGATTTTTCCATAGGTTCAGTAGACTTTTTGGATCATTAGGAAACAAGTAACAGGTATTCCTCTTACCCTGGGCAGACAATATCTTCCTCTCACTATATACCTGGTTTTATGGTTGAAAATTGCACTATATATGTAATAGTTACAATATTGTGAAATCATAACATGTAGAGCCTGTCGTTACCTCCCATTTTCTTTTATTTTATCCACAGTCTCCAACAGGACTGTGCTGGTTCCACAATGCCATAAACCCGACAAAACACTTGAGAGGAGATACAGTTCCTAACATTTTTCACATTTTCAAGAAAAATATGTCTGTATCTTTAACTTTAGTGAATACAAAAAAACTGCTGGAACCAGGAAAATGACACATTTTCAGAATATTTCATCTTTCCCTCACACCTTCCTCCTAGACAGTCAAATACTTTCTGCTTATGTTTTGCTTATATATGGATTGCTTCCTAACAACTGGAAGAGGTCTAAGGTCCCAAAGAAGGTATCTCCTCTCCCTCCAATTTTTCACTAAAACAAATGAAAGCAAATCCACAATAGTTGATGGAAGGAAAGGTAAGTTGCTTCTTTTCAGTGGAACTGTCTTTGGGTTGACTTTCGATTCAAAAATTTGAGATTCAAAGATTTATTATCTCTACTCATATAATTTCATCTGCAAAACCTCCGTCCTGCTTCTTACCAACCCAAAGACTTGGTTTGTAATTTTTTTGTGGTGGCCCCGGCTGAGACATCAAGTGTTGGTGCTCGCTTGCCAGGTACTCTGTCCATAGTCACTGGAGTGTAACAGAAGAAGATGCAGCTCATGTAAGAACTGAATCATCTCTTGGAGTTGCCCTCCTAAAAAGAGGGGCATGGAGAAATGAGAGTCCTGATCTAGGGACCTCAGACGAGCCATGAATTCAGACACTGGAATCGGACTATGCCTGTCCAGGTATACATCTGTGGGCCAACAGCATGAGCAAATACAAGGAAATTGTGAGATTTATTATTGCTTGGTGAAAATAAACCCTGCAGAAAGACATGATTGCATTGTGTTTGTTGGAAACCACATGGTTAATCCTTTATTTGAGAAGTTATGATGATTATTTTCATTTTTCTCATGTTGGTGGGAAGTGACTACATGGCTCTATTCCACCAGGAATCAGCTGCCAGTTGAATAAACTGAGTAAAAAGGGTCTTCCTCCAGAATTATCTTCCTGGGCGGACCTTCTCTGCTACTGAGACAGTTGCCAGGCAGAGCCCTAAAGCAAGCAGGAGACATACGTGATGGAGTGATTCCAGAAGACACAGACGGGCTTCGTTCTCTCCTCTGTTTCCAGCATGGCATACTCCACTATGATGGGCTTTTCCACCAGGTTGGGAGGAAGGTCCCCATCACTGTGAATGGCTGTGCTCACTACAGGTGTGTTAATTATAGGGCGATTTGGCAATCTGCAGAAGGAGAAAAATTGCACAGTGACCTACATGTTAAAATGCAAAGCACTGATTTGGTGAGGTTCTGCAAATAAAAGATTTCCAGTCACTTCCACTCAGAAAGCGAAGCAGATGCCCCATCAATCAGCCTTCCAGACAGCTGTGTTTCCAAAAGGTCCCAGCACTACTGAAGTGGTTATTCTCCCACAGTGTGCCAGAGGAGGACAAGAGACAGTACTGTGGTGACAACTGCAGCACAGGTGACACTCAGTCACTATAAAAGCAGCTCTGCCTTCCCCACACACTCAGAGTAAGTGGAAGAAATCTACCTCAAGCTCCTTCGGTCAGGATCGTAGTTTTCAGGCAGGAGGTGTCCCAGGGATCGGTATATAATGACCATGGCAACAGTATGATGTGTTGAGTCATCTGGGTGTCGCTTCTTTCTCTTTGCAAAAGCACTCTCAGAGCTTAGTGCATCAGTGTTCACCTTAGAGGATAATTTTTGATTTGAAGGCTTCATTGTAGGCACTGCTATGGAATTAATACAAATATTAAATTCTTTCCATAAAACTTTGGAGTTCCCATTTAAACTGGTAATTTTGCTTTGCAAAGATACAGAGATGTTACTGTTGTTATAACTCTAGGCTCACAATGTTATTTTTGGTATTTTTAATAAAATTTTAGCACATTTCATAGTTACATAGCTGATAATCAAATAACCATTGAACCATGAATAATCATTTAGTCTAGCAAGAAAATAAGCCATTTCTAAGCTAGAAGATCCATAAGTATATAAATACTCTGTGCGTGATTTAAGGAGAACATTAAAACAATACACATGCTATTAAATTGTATATATGGCAAAGCTAGTGTTATAAATACCAGAATTGGTCATACGGGTTTTCTCCCTGCTAATTCTGTTATATAATGAGCTTTCAGTTTTGGCAGTATCTCTTAAAATTCATATTCCCTTTTTCCTTACAGAAAAGATACAAGTCATACAAGCAGGTGCCCTGTTTCTGAGGAAAAAGTTATAAAGATGTATTAGGTTATTCATTATTATGTGTTATTTTCTCAAGTGTTAATATTTCCCCATTTGGAGGATATTCAGCCACGGTATGTGTATAATTATTGCACTTTAAGTTACCCTCTCTCTCTTCCCTTGCCCAAGGTAACTCGTGGTTCCTCTCAGCAATCTCCAGGCACCTCAGTGACACTGGGAAGCAGGTACCTCCCCACACATTCTCCCTCATCACCCATCTCCCTGAGCAGCTCAAGACTTTTTATTTGCTGTCTAGTTCTGATAACCCGGCTCAGCTCCCAGATTTGGACTCCCCAGTTCTCACACCGCTTCCCTCCATCTCTGCAGGGACCGGGGGAAGGCGGCTGTGGGGCTGCAGGCTCTGGGCAGCCATCTCGTCTCATCCCGGTGGGAACAGAGACAGAGGGTTTCTCCCGCACTGACAGGGCAGTTCGAGGGGCCACGAGTGAGACCTGACAGACAGGTACAGCCAGTTACGCAGCCCCCCATGCTCCCACCGCTGCCGGCAGGCAAAATGCCTCAGAAGTATGCACAGCTGCTCCATCCCTAAATAATGTTCGCTTGTGTAGACGGCCGCCCCGCTCTCAGCCTAGTACCACTCCGCTTCACGAGGATTAATCACACTCCTTGGGAGCTAGTCAAAATTGCCCTCCGAACAGCAGCAGAAGGGTTTTACCTTTCCTGTCTGAAGGTCTGAACAAAGTATCAGGGAAGACAACAGATGACTCCAGATCTTTTGGATAATCTTCTTTAATCTCATGAAATCGTGGTATTCTAGCTCCCGTGAAATTAGACTTGTCAAAGATGTCAACAGCAATAACTGAGAGGAAAAAAGTTTCCCATAAAATTAACTTCAGCCCTTTCAAATATGATATTGCAACAAAATGAAACGTGATTGAAAGGTTAAAATATCTGTACAACACAGAGAAGACATTCAAACCCCAAAATACAAAGTCAAATTTAATTTTTCTCAATTAATACCTCAAATGACAACTATGGGCTTACATGTCAGCATTATGTTACATTTATCAAATTATAAATTTATTTTGCAGTGGAAAGGAATTCACAAGACAGCATCTCATACTAGGAAAATACTACTGCCGACATTGGAAATATAGAAGTGGCATGCTCCAATTTCAGACTTGCTTCTTGTAGGGAAGGCTAAATCTGCTGCTTCAGAAATATACTTCTTCTACACCTGTTAAATTGCAAAGTCAGCTAAGCAAAGAAAATAACCTGGATTTTCCCTGGGACTACTCCTTAGTCCTCCAGTTCTCCTTCCTCTACACAAGCAGTTCCTCTCTGGCTCACCTCATGAGCTCTGCCTGTTGTCTAACTGCCAAAATATTTAAAAGCAGCTGAGTTGGCTTGAACTTTCCCATTTAAGAGATTGAGTGCCAATTTAGATGTTCTAATAAAAGTGAGAAGCTGGAAGTCCTGGGGGTAACCCTACACCAAAAGCTGTGATCCACTGCAAGTTTCTATATGAAGAAATATCCAAGTTAAGATCTGCAAATTCCCATTCCTTTCCTAGTCTCTAAATAACTCCCAGATGAGCCATTAGGAAACTCCATTAACACCATGTTCACCTGAAAAAACTGTTCAAAAGAAAACAGACCCCTTTCAGGCCAGAATTGCCTCATCCCTCCCAAGCTCATGCCTGTTTACCCAGGAAGAGCTGGTTGAAAAAAAATCAGGATTTACAAGCTGCAAGAAATTCTGGTTTTTGTTTTCATCTCAGTTCAGTTTGGTTAAAATACTGAGCATACTCTTTTTCTGAGTGTGAAGATACAGTTATTTTGATTCTGATAGTCATGAATCAAAAGGAAATATTCCATTTTTGGTTTATTAAACAGAAATCAAAGTATTCCAGTTTGGCTTAGTTCAACAATAATCCTTTCCCCCGGGAGCTGATGCAGGACTTTATGAACTTTGTAGCTTGACTGTCTCATGCCTTTGCTTTTTATGCCCCTGTGTCTATGGACATGAAGCACTCTCAGGACAAGGTTTGTAGGAAAGGTAAATTCACTTCTTATACCAACGGGTGTAGTTGGGAAAATAAGACAAGCTTTTGGGCACATCAGCCCTTCTTCAGGTCTGAAATAAAAGCAGCAGCTTGAAAAGCAAAATACAAGCTCAGGCTGATAATAATTTAGACCACCTCTGAAAGAAAAACCAGATAGCAATGCTGCTTGGGAGGGACCTCTGAAGGTCACCCAGCTCAGTCTCACCTCCCAGTCAGAGCAGGACTATCACCAACACCTGATCAGCTCAGACTGTTGGTACCGGGGGAGAAAATGAAATAGAGACGGCAGGGGAGAAATGGGGAAAGAGGCCAACCAGGCTGTGGCTGCTGTGCTTCACTTGCACGTGTACCACCAGGACATCTGTGAAGTACATCACAGTCCTGCAAATGCAGGAGGTGCTATTTGCTTGTCAGAGGAGGCATTTACTGTGACAGGTGGGGAAGGTGTCTTGGTACGTATGCGATGTTTCCTTCTCAGTTTAGAGCCTTTCTGGATATTTTGGACCCCAAGGATTTTGCTCTGTTGATGAGTTTTATGAGGCTGGGAGGGTGTTGGAAGGCTTGGATGGGCGATTCTGAGAAAATACCTTTCAGCACAGGAATTTCTACACAAGATGATTTTCTGGATAGGTTCCAGGCTAGGAAGTCATGTGAAAATCAGAGATATACAATCAATAGTAGGGTTTTCTTTTTGTACTGCAGTAATTCTTCAGGTGGTGGTGGTGTGATTCTTTGAAAAATGTGACCTACTATGTTCAACTATACTAGGTGGTCTCAAAAGGCATTACCTTTACTTACAAACTTTGTCCTTCCTACCATCTGTACGCTACTGTGGCTGCAGCAAAATGCCACACAGAGCAGTGGCACCACCCAGGGGGAAAACAGATCAGAGATCTCCCAGGAGGCGCCCATGGCAACTGAGAGATATGGATCAAGGCTCAATTGACTTGAAATGAATGCACTGATTAGATTAGAAAATCCAAGTATGTCGTTTCTCAGTGGGTACTACTAAAACAAATAGTTAGCACCTCTATCCAGCACATTTTTAAAACTCTAATACAAAATAGCTGTTTTCAACACAGATACTCACTCATGTTAGCGGCAACAATGACAAAAGGTCTCATGTAGGTTTTCTTCATGTTCTGGGCCACATTGTTGAAATATTCCTCATAGTGCCTGAGCAAGTGAGCAGTGCCACCCTCCGTTCGCTGAATTTGCTCCCAGTGCTCCTTATTGCTGGGGTCCAGTAAAGCACTACCCACTTTGATAATATTCTGAGAAAGAAATTACAAGCCTAAATTATGAAGGAAACAAAGTGCTGGGTTTCAAGTGGGGAATATTGAAAATGATTGGCATTACTGCCTCAGGTGAGTGTATAATGAAATATTTTAATGCAAGCATGTTCTACTGCAGCCGTATGAAAATATGTACACCAGTTACTCACCCTGAGGTTTTTTTGTTACAGAAAGCAAATCCCTCCAAACTTTTTATGAGCAAAGTAATCCAAAATTGGAAGCTGTAGGAGAGCTGCCTACTTTCTTTCCCCTTTATGACAGGAAACCTAGCAAGAAAATGCCAAAGGAAAACCTAACCATGTTAGGAGAGATGAGAAGCAAGAAAAGCAGAGCGCTTGGTATATACACTGAAGAACTTCCCTGGGGAAATCAAAATAATGTGATATGTTAAAAATCAAAAGAAAGCCACAGACAGCAATATCGCTTTCTCTTTTATTTTGATTTTTTTTTTTAAACCTTGTTGATTCCTGGATAACTAGGAAAACTTACATGGTGAAGAATGACTAGAGCAAATATTAACTTGCATATAGACACTTGAAAATACACAAGAAAACTTAAATCATGTTGTTCTCCCCCCATTTTTATGATGCTTTCAAATGGTGTTAAAAAGGAAGTTCTAGCTGAGGACTTGCTCCTTCTGCCCTTTCTTACAAGAATATGCAAAGGGACCCTCAGGCTGAATGGAAGAAGACCCCAAAAGAGAGTGCTAAATGGCTCAAATGGGAAAGGTCTTAAGAAGTTTTTAACTTGGTGTACATATGAACTACATTGGTGTGTCAAAACCTAATTTGTAACCAAGGTAAAATCTGCATAAAATGATGGTAGGAATTAATCACTTTAAGCTCTAAAATAGCCAAGGCAAATATTTAGGTTTCATTTAGAAGCAGGCAGGGAAGATGTTATATTCTCTAAGTATTGTCTGAGGTTGCAAGCGTGTATCTGAGATAAAAGAGGCTGCCAGTATGACTATCTTTATCTAGGGTGAGAAGCAGTATGTGGTTCCCAAGGGACTCAGGAGACACATGCCGTACTTGGTACCAGGCCTGATCAGTGTTTGTGAAGGTTATTTATGTTTTTTATTATCTGTTTTTCAGCCTTCTACCTGAGACTATAAAAAAAAATAAATTCCTTCTCTTCTTGTGCTCCCTCAGCCTAGGATGTTACCTCCTTTTTCTCATGAGCTTTACTGATTAGTTGTCAAATTCCTGACCTATCCTAAAAGTATCTAGGGAGTTCTTGAAAATATCATCTGTATGAGTTTCGGTGCCAAGTGCAGAGAATAATAAATTAAAGCAGAGATTTCCAAACAAGTTTTTTCTTTTTTGCTTATTGTTCTTCCTTTTACTTAAAAAAAACATGATTAAAAAAACGTTCCTTCTCAAGATCTGGATGGGAGAATTCACTCACTCCACAGCTCGCAGGTACAAGTGTGTCAGCACAGTGTCTCCTCAAGAAAAAAAGAAAAGCCTGAATCTCTTAAAATCTGGTGTATCTAAAATCTCAAATGTTTCAGCAGTTCCCCACTTTCAGTTGACTGTACAGCCCAAGACACTGAGGAATTTTCTCAGCCATATTTCCTCCTGCTCCCACCTCCCCACGTACGTCCTCTCCTGGAGCAGCTTGGCCTTGCACAGGGTCTCCAAGCTCACCCCAAAGTCTGCCTGACTGAGCTGGTCCTCCTGGAGTACTGAGAGCAGTGAGCTGGGAGCCAGACCACCTTTGGCCGACACAGAGGCCAGTCTTGGCCCATGGAGGGTTTTTCCAGCATCCCTACACTGGTGCCTGAGCTCTGGGCTCTGCTTGCACAGGTCCAGCAGGATGTTTTAGCTTTGATTCTGTGCTGTGCTACGGTCAGGGTCTTGGCAATAGTATTGGCAAGCATGGACAGCAGTGACCTGCAGCACACAAGGCAATGAGGAGAGCTCTACGAGCCTGACACGGGTCATCCAACCTTCACATTTTCAGACCACAGAAAGCTCCCAACTTCCTCCACATCTCACATTTTTCCACTACAACCATGTGTTTCCCCCAGACAGGGAGGGTGCTACAGCTTATTCTCTAGACCTGGTCAGATCTTTGGTAATAACTGGGTCTTTCGTGAATGCTCTGACTAGCAGAAGCCCTCTGGCATGCATTTTTTTATGTGCCTGCATCACTTAAAATATCAGTACAGTATGGAGGGTCTTTCAATGTACCAACTCTTTAATAAACATGACTGAAGTGTTTCCAAACTGAATTGTATGACACCTTCAGAGTCAGTAACTGGCTGCAGTTCACTGCACATTTAAATTAAAATGATCACTTTAGGCAGGTTTTCCAACAAAACTGAATATGGTGCACAAAGCTATTTTGTCCAGGAAAAACATATCAACTTGATTATTTTTTCATTTGGGGAATTTTGCTTTTGGTTGTTATTATGATCATATTTATTATGTGTGCATACACACACGCATAACCATCTTCGCATTCTAAATGGAGAAGACCGACTCATTTGTGAAACATATTAAGCAATTACATTATATTTGCTCCACTCTGGTCAAAGACAAATGTAATTATCCATCACCATAAAACTTTTACGGGGAACTGTAAAGGCTCAGCACAGTATACAGTATCTCTCTTACTTCATTGAATTCCACGTCCCTTGTGGCTGCCAAGTCAAACCCTTGCTGCTGGCTCTCATACTGGAGTACTCGGATCATCATCTGGTACGCTGTCCTCACATCGTTGCCATACAAACTCTGTGTGTATTTTGTGGCATTCTGCAGCACTCTCACAATCCGTATGGTTTTGTCTCCATCCAATTTCGTCTCATTGTGGTGTAACTTCTCATTCTGAATCAGGGACAAGAAGGAAGAAAAACCCCAATGATTTATCTTTTTTTTTCTTTCATTCTAGTTACAAAGACAATCGACATTTAGGGATTTTGGGCACGAAGGAGTTGTTTCATCAAAATGGTGTTTGTCTTGAGAACAGGTGGACAGGACAATTCAATGGAAAATGTAACTGAGAGCCAGAAAAGCACAAGGGTCTTGATGGGAAATGAGGGGGTTCAAGGACTCAGTCAAAATATGATAGGGATATCAAACTGGAGTCTGAACAGATGATCCTTTATAAAATAAAGGCAAAACTGAGAAAAGACCGCTTACCATGATTTTTAGATCCACAAAAGTGTTGGTGGTGCAGTTGAAAAGCTCAGGAGGCAGCCAGCCCTTTTCAATGTTACAATGGCGAACCGCATTTCCTGAAGGAAACAAAGTGTTAATTGTAAATGATGTTTTGAATTTGCTGGGTAAATCTTCATAGATTTCAAAGATCCCAGACTGCCAGATTTCCTACACTTTCAAGTTTCTTAGAGTTACACAAATATTTCACTTTCCAAACTGGGATTTCTGTCCGAAAAAAATTAGGCTACTACTCTTCATGAATCGTTTTCCCCAGGCTTTAGAGAAAAGTTAGGCAAGCTTCAAAATCTACCTAACTGCTCTCAGCCTAACTGCCCTAATGTTCTCAAATGAATTCAGCAATTTATTTATACCAAATATGGGATAGACTGTGCACTTCCTAAATATTTCTGAAAACATATCCCTGCTCAGAATTCTGTGCAATAGCCTATACAGGAAGATATCCCGAATAAATGCTGTCTTCATGTCAAAACATGCTGGCGTTTTCGCACGCTGCACACGGTAGACACTTCAGCCAACATGTATAATTGCCTTTTGCCACTTGTGAATGGTCTGTGAGCAGCTTACTGTTTAATTTAGCCTATTATTTTGTACTATTTGTCAAATCATTTTAAAATGTAATTCTCGGCTGTGGATCCTTCACAGTCAATTGCAAGTTATCAAATTCAGAACTTACACTGTGCTAGTTAACTGGCACATAACACATTGCATCTATCTAAGCCATTTAATTACTAATATCTAAATAAGAATTATAAACAATTGAACAATATCTAATTAAATTCTTTCTCTTCCATGATTAGGTGAATACAACTAAGCCTCAGGTTCTTAGTCTCAATATTCATTATTATAAAGCTTACTTTTTTTGTATGTTCTGTAAAATTCACTTTAAACTGCAGTTCCTGTAAGTGCCCTTGCCTGCTAGTCTATTTGCTACAAGACACATTGGGGTCAACCACCAGAACAGTGCAGAAAACTTATTTTAATTCAACTTTATACTGTTTAATAACGTAAATATTCATCACTTATAAAAAAAAATATCAGTTCTATTTCCCAAAATCCTCAGAACAGAAGCTTGGTTGACTACAAATCTGCACACCTACAGGCAGTGACCTCCCCTCAGTAATGTCTGGGGAAGTCACATAACCATTTATAACTCATTCATCCTGCGAAGTGCTCGCAGCAGAGTTACAAGGCCCAGAAATGAGACAGAGGTTTCACTTCCCACAGAAACAGGTTTCATTTTTCACGTGTGAAAAAGCAGGTTGTCATTTGCCTGCTGCACAAAACAACACAGCTCACATGCTTTATAAAACGCATTTTTCAGCCGTCTGACTTATGGGTTAGAGAAAAGATGTTGGGTGGAAAAACGTGAGTTCTGTTTTAACTCTTAGCTTTATTAGCCTGCAACACTAGTAAAGCAATCATCACATAAATGATTTTCCTCATTTTATCTTTGTCCAGAGGAGCTGTATTGCTAAAGAACACGTACAAGCCACTGGAAACTACAAATTCCATGTGTAAGAATTGCTTGATAGAGTAAACAGAAAATAGAAAGTTGGACTGTGCTTTTTTGAAAATACACCATTTCTGTTCTTTATATGTATCTATTTGCTGCACCTTTGTATTTATTTATTGCCACTATTCCAAATGTATTTTAAAATTTCTTGAGTTTCAGCTAGCTAAACTTTTCTGCTTGTGATACGCCTGAGCTATGCTGTAATCTCTAGACCCAATGAATTAATGCTATTCCCTATGTACACATTTTTCTGCTCTTTTTTTTTTTTTCTCTCAAACAGGCATGTAGATAAAGTAGTTAATATTTTACCCAGGGAACTTACCCACTGATCCCTTAGGACATGGCACAGCAGCTGGCTGTCCAAACTTGGTCTGTGGCCACCAAATACCAGCCTCGAAAGCTTTGGGACAGCCATTATAAATTACTGAGAACAGAAAAAGAAATGATGCAACTTTTCTGACACGATAAAAATCACAACACAGAGATATTTCAACCTGCCTAAAGGACCTTCCCATAATTCCCAAGCCCCATCAGGATACCTGCCCTCTGCAGTGCCTTCCAAGCTGTAACCTATCAACTGCTCCTTATCCAGCAGTGTGGGCAGACAGGTACAGGCAGAGGAGAGCTCAGGATGATTATGGGGCTCTGGATTTTGGCTCTGCCTATCTCTGCCTGCTCCTTTATTGTGGGAAAACATTTCTCCTTCATTTCACCCACACACTGTGGCGCGATGACTGGGGCACGAAGCGCATGGCACAGCCTCTGTGGGCAGAAGGCGCGATGGCTCTCGCCCCCCTCTTCAGCTGCAGCACAGCTGAGGCAATGCTGCACTAGCAGATGAAGTCAGGTTTCACCCAAAATTAAGATTACTGTTTTGCTCCGCCCCCCCAAGCTAGCTATGTTTCCATTTGATGAAAATTAAAGAAATATGAGCTTTTTTCTTTTTCCCCAGCCCCTGTGAGGCATATTAGCATAGACCTAGGAGGAGGGGTGCAGGTTTAGGCTGCCATAGCTCCCATTGCCCCTGCTGGAGGCTCCTGGCCGGGCTCATAAGTGCCCCAGGATGCAGCTGCGTGCTCAATGCTCTGCAACCCCCACCTCCCCACCGCCCACGGCTCTCATCCCGCAGCCGCAGCTCAGCTGACCAGCAGCACTTGCTGGACAGAAGGTACCTTCACAGCCCTTCACAGTAACTTCAGCAAATGGGTTGTCGCAGCGGTTGCACTGCCGCCCGATGACACCAGGTTTGCAAGGGCACTGTCCCGTCTCCATATCGCAGGCGCGCGTGTGGGAGCCAGATGGGAAGCAGTCGCAGGGGTAGCAGGTGTCACTGCTCTGGGGCCTGTAGTAATTTGCCTAGAAAAACCAAAATGACAGACACGAGGTATTTGACTTACATTCCACATTACTTGCTTTTCTGAACTCCTGCTCTAGCAGCACGTGCATCATGAAAGGGATAACTTTGCAAAGCACAGGATAATAATGATGTTACAACTAACAGAAAACGTAATAGCTATGGGAAGTGTGCTGTGTTATCCCTGGCAATGCGGAGAGGCAGAGCTGAGCACTGGGGGGGATGGCTGGACTGCCCTGTGCCACGGAGACCCACAGTTCTGACCACCGTTTGCAGAGGGGCGGAGAGACCACATTATTCTTCATGTACTTGCTGCCAGTGCCCAGCAAACATATTCTTGGAGGATTTGCAGTTTTCTCTGCTTTGCAATTCCACTCTTGTATAGCATGAACAAGCCAGAGAGGAAGCTTCCTGCACTGTCCATTTGTTTCATGTACAGGGAGGAAAGCAACCAATGATCACTTATTCAAATCGCATCTGTAAACGCTTTTGATCTGAGGCGTTACACGATTACACAAGAGCGTGGTGCTGGCACCCCACTGACTCTATTTAATGCAACAATTGCTGTGTGTCCTGCTGGCATTTAGGAAGAGTATGGGGCCAGATTCGCTGCCGCTGGTCTGCACAGGCACAGCTCCTCTGATGTAATTCAAGCCTATTGTAAAAATCTATTGTGAAAAGTCCTTTGTAAAACCTTCAGGAGGGAGGTGCCTCCCCTCCCGCATCTCCGTCTGTCCCTGCCTGTCCGTGGCAAATTCCTCTTAAACTCCACAGAGCTGGCACTGAGGACAGTGTTTAGCCTCTCGTATTATTTACCTCCCTCCAGCTGCTACGCCTTTTGCTGGCCCATTGCAGAGGGGAGAGCTTCACCCAGCTGGCCCGAGCTGTTTCATGGCTATTACTCACTTGTGATACACAAAACACCACCAGCACTCCTCTGCACCCAGGTCTGATCTCCCCTGATAAACCGGGCTGCACTTCAGAGAGATCAGAGCCGGGCTTTCATCCTCTCAGTTTTGCTTTCCAAATGCAAATAAGATAAGAGCTGCACAGTATGATTTTGTGAAGGGTGGTGCCAGCAAAATGTTTTAGGTAAAGATTAACTACACTGCACACATATATATGATACAAAGCACAACCGTGTGTATTTTGTTTCAGCTACTCGCTTGTTGTAATTATTACTGGCATAGTTACTTTTTAAACTAAAGAAATTTTGACTTAAGACAGGTTTCTCTTGCTTACCTTACAGTGGCATTCTCCATTGGTCTTATTGCAATCAGAATCAAACCCTTTGCTAGTCTCACAATTACATGGACCACAGATGGGATTTCCCCACCAGCCTCTGGGACAAGGCAGGTCAATCCTATAAAAGAATATCACAACAAAAGAAAGTTCTTTTAAGCTTCCTCTTAAAAGCTGGGAAAAAAGAGCTTTGGGCTAAAACTGCACTCAACTCCATTCGCTTATAGAGTGTTAATGCTGAGATACTTGCAGCAGCCAAGACTCAATACATATATAAATATATAAACACTGTAATAAAAAAAGATAAAGAATATCAGTGCTATGAAACCCTGGTGGTAATGCTTCTATAAACTTTTTCAAGAACAGCTCCACTTTATAAGGAGTATACACCTATATGAGCAAATAAAGTGCTCTTTCTTCTGTGAGAGGGCAATGGGGCTCACACTGCCTAGTGGAAAGAGCCCTGGTCCCATCAGCCCCAGCCCCATGTTGGGAAAAGTGCTGATGGGGGCAGGCTGGAGAGGCTGTGCCGGGCTGTGTTAGCACTTCAACAGACCAGGCAACTGCAGACCGTGCTGAGCTCAGCTCGTGCCCTGGTTTACCTACTGCCATAAACAGCCTTGGGGTACAGCTCCCCAGCACTTTGTAGACCACCTCCCACCCCCATGGGTTCCTGTCCCACCCCTGCCACGGGCAGCAGTGCTTGTCCCACCTGCGGGGACACCGGCTCAGGTACAAAGCTGGCTGCAAGCTCACCCTATGAAGAAAAGTCACTACTTTCAGCCAACCTGGCTTTCTCAGCCAGTTCACCACAGGGTCTGAAAAGCCCTGGTCTGCAACAAGGGAGGAGGAGGAGGACACATGTGGTTGGAGACATGGAAGGGCAACAGCTTTGATTCAGACTATGACTGGAGCAGCACAGCTAGTCAGAGGTTGTGCATTAACTCAAAAGCCACCCCTGCTGAAGAATAACCTTTGTTTTCACTGGTTCTTTTTCTGCTGTGTGAGCTTCTGAGCAAGTTTGTCCCACAGATGCCCCGACACTAGCGCCGACAAGGAGAGCTCTGGAAAGGGGCCAGGGCTGTGACTAGGGTCTCTGCTAGCTGGAAGTCTTCATCAAGCAATAGCGCAAAGGACGACACTCCTGAGTCTGTGATCAGCATAATGCACAAGGAATCCCCTCCCTGCTGCTCATTTTTGGAAAGAAAAGCTGTTCGCCGTCTGTTTCAAAGACCACATCGAATTTTGTTTACAGTAATTGCCAGGTTTGTACTTCGATGCTTTATAATACGAAAAACCACAATGCTGCACTTGACATGATGTCAGTAGATAATGACAAGGGACAACGTCTCTCCGTCGCTAATCCAGAGGAATGAAAGATGAATTTGGCAACAACATGGCCAACATTTGCAAGCCCACACAACAAAAGGCGGAGGACGAAGCTTGCGGTTTTCAAAGGGAAGGAAACATCACATGAGCTATTCCTAAATGGGCAGACAAATGCACTTCATTTGCACATCATGGATGGCCCATATTACACTAAATCAAAGCGTCTTCTCTGGGATAAGGCCGGTCACTGAATGCTTATCTGAGACCAGGAAGCCAGTGACGAGGGAATCAGCACGTTTCTCCCACAAAGCAACAGGACATAGGCCTCCCAGACTGTCCAGAAGAGATGTTTTTTTGCCAGCCCAGGGACTGGACCCAAACTGCAAAGCCATTTTATCTGGCCAAAGGCCACCTAACTGGGTGCATCGCTGTGTGTGTGTGCTCGAGGAGCTGAAGGAGGCACACAGAGCAAACTCAGGCCAAACCCACCGCAAGGTACAGGTCAGATGCAGTGCTGTGTAACACAGCACAATTAGTCGAGTCCCTGAGCTGCTGCTGAAGCAAAGTAGCCCCCCAGGATATGGAAGGTTGTCTGGTCTCTGAGAAGAGTGCTCAGGAGCGCCAAAGGGCACGGAGCTTGCAAATACCATCTACTATGAACACTCAAATTGTAACAGGAAAGCTAACCGGAGCAGAAAGCAAAGCAGGAGGATTGCTGCCTTGGGAGAAGAGGTACCTGGAAGGATCAAGAAACCAAGAATAAAAATAATTCTCTTACTTGCTCTCACAGTACTGTCCATAGTAGCTTTGTCCACATTCGCAGGTGTAGCCGTGGGATGAGCTAGGTTTGTGCACGCACGTGGAGACATGCTCACATGGGTTCAAGTTACATACATCAACACAGTCTCTCCCAAAGTACCCTGGGGAGACAAGGTCATAAAATTACAGCAACCGTTGTAATTTACGATTTGCATGTCTCCAAAAGATCATCTATTTTAAGCCTATACACTAATAACACATCTTCAATAATCAGTAGATTCGCCCTGAGATACTGTCAGAAAGAAGGTACTCTTTTCCCTCTCAGCAAAAAAGATAGTGGGTTGTTCTTTTCGACAGTCTGTTAACATGCTTGAGGCACCCTTGTGCCTTTGGTTCCCAGTTTTATATTCAGGGCATGTGTTACAAACACTTTCGTATTCTCTCCCTGTGTGTATGGGAGGTGACTGTGCTGGGTGCTGACAACATGTGCTGGCTACATGCACCAAAACAGAGAAAACATTCAAAGTATCTTGATTAGGATGCAGAGTGTGAGACTGAAATCCAACAGCAGAAAAGGCTGGGAAAGAAAAAGAAAAAACAGAAAAAGAAAACAGACAAAAAGAGAAGGGGAGGTCCATGGAAAGAGCCCTTTGGACCAGAGACCGTCTTTATGTTTGTTTGATGCGTTGCCTAGAACAAACGATCCTTAGTCTATGACTGCAGTTTCAAGGGTGCTATAGTAGGACTGAGAAAGATAATACTGATTGGAAGAGGAAGAATCAGAAGATGAGCACTTTGCGAGCATGCTGCTGCTGCTGCTGCTGCTCTTCTGATGAGCGCATGAGCACAAATGTGATCCAGCTCCTGGATGAATGCACAGGTCACTGGGTTACCTGGGTCGCAGACACAGGAGTAGCTGTCCCAGTCATCACTGCAGTAGCTGTGCTGGGGACACGGGTTGGAATCACAGGGGTTATCCACTTCGCAACCCTCCTTCACGTTGATCTTGATAGCCTGTTTCATGTTGAGTGTAGCTATATTTGTAGATGTCTCTCCCATTCTTACTCCCTGGTGATAAAAGACAATTATTTTAAAATTAGAGTCTTTATTCAGACTACAGTACTATGTGTTTCACTACTTCCATTAATCCATGCGGCTACATTTTAAAGAAATGTCATCTAATGAGCCAAACCCAGATATTTTTTTTCAAATGCTGTTCCCCTGTGAGCCCAGATTTGTACCTGGGAACGTGGGTGGACTTTAATTCTTAGATATTTTGATGGAGGAAACAGAAATGTTCGGGGATGGACGAAAAAGAAAACCCCACATTTTCACAGGGGTATTTTCTTAGAAGTTCAAAGTTTGTTGCTACAC